CCACAAAGAAGCCCCTCTCACGTTCAGGTTCATCATCATCGTCAGCCTTCACAAAGTGAATGGCGACTATCACCTTGAACGTGTTGATGGCGAGGAAGGAGATCATCTGATTAGAGGGACACAAAGAGGAGAAGAATGTCACATCTTCTCCTAGCTTGTTGTAAAACGACAACAACCATGTTGGTGCACAACCCCATAAAATAGCAGCATTTAAAAGTCAAGCAGATACTTACACCAACGAGGATGAAGAAAATCACAAAGCTGGCCCAGAAGGAGACGTCTGTTACGTAGTTCATGATGGTTGTCCATCCTTCCAGTGTGGTGGCCTGATTAAAATCACAAACATCATGTGTAACGTCTATTAAAGCATTAGAATTCACAAATGCAACAAATAATCAAACAGGGGTCAGAAACCGTGAACTTGTGGGCAGATTTAGGCTGATTCCCACCTGGTACACGGTGAGCATCCCATATCCAATGTTGTCAAAGCTGATGCCTCCAAACCCCAGATTTGGGCCCAGCGGAAGACACGCGTTATACAGGACATTCCAGTTGACGCAGGCCGTTGAGTTGGTCAAGGCGCTGCTGTTGGCCAGTAGTGCAGATGACCAGTTTGCACTGGGCGGGGCCAACATGCAGGTCTGTCCATTCTGGCGCAGCGGAGGAATGTCCTTACACTGGCGTATCCCGTTGGGGTTCGGCGAGCAGAGGAACTCACAATCCTCACCAGGAGAGGACTGATAGTACTCGCTCATGTTCAGCTTCAACCTTTGGGATTAGAAAAGAACAGAAAGAAGAGATTATAGGCTGCAACATTTACAAGACTGTCACATCCAAAATCTAAAATCAAATAAAAGTTGTCTTCTACGCTAAGGCACAAAATCTTCAGGGTGAAGCAAATGCGCTGGGCTGAAGGATGAGTGTTTGTAAAGCAGCAGAATGAACACACATGAAGTGGTCCTACAGAGAGAGATGAGAGGAGCAGACAAAATCATCGCCTTACGCAAGGTCCAGGCCGCTCGTGTAGCACCGATGGTGGAGGTCGCCGGCCCACAGCTGGACCCCGATGCTGCCAAAGGTGTACACCGCAAGCAGGTACAACAGAATGTACTGTGCTATGATGGGTATGATCATCATCACATTCTTGATCCACCTTCGCAGTTCTACAGGAATGTAGACACAAACAACCAGAT